TGATGTCAGTGGCTGGCTATCATATGAGTTGTTACTCTGATATCAGGGCAAAGGTCATGGTTGAAAATAATAAATTTAGGCATGTACTTAGCCTAGAGGAGTAAATAATGTGGGTTGATTTCTTTTCACTTATTAAACACTGTGTGTTTTTTAGGGGGTTTGATAATGATCATAAAAATTTCACATATATTGATAATTCTATGAAAAAGACTGCTTAATCACCAGACCAAATTTCCAAGCCTAAGAACACCATTATTTCAGTAAGAAAAACATTAATAAAAAGAAACATATTGACTATTTTGTAAATTTTTAAGCCCTGGTGTATTACAAATGCCTGCATTTACTACTATGGATTCACATTATTACAATGAGATATAGGAATGGGTGGTGGATATTTTTCAGACCAATAAAATCTTATTGTTAACTTGGGCATTGAGGAAAACCCTATTGCTTATTCATGAGGTATTTTGAGGTCATTAGAAAAAGAAGAGTATAAATATGGCAGCATTATCATGATAACATCTCAAAAATTCAAAATTGAAGTATCCCTTTAATGTCCTCTGAATTCCTAATTTATTGGGCCACTAAATTCATATAGAGAACATGACTTGGGAATACAGCCAGAATGACTTAAGAGAGAAGACAATACCATGTAGAGATTCTTTAAAGCTGGGTATCTTCAGCTTTAAAGAATACTTCATCCATGCTAAATAATAATTACATCAACAATAATAAACTCTCTCAACAGAAATTTATTAGATCTCCCATCTCCATGTGAAATCTTTTAAAGGACTCTTTATTCAGCTGAAATGCTTTCTTGCATGATGTGCAAATAAGGATGAAATAAAGCCTGAGAATGTGGTCAGGGAGACTGAGATGGAATAAGCAGACCAAAAAATATTAAACCAGAATGTAATGCATGAACTGAAGTACACCTGGTAAGTATGCATACCATTGCTCTACGCTAAAAACCATCACAAACCATTTGGAGTAATCAAAAAAATTGCTGCCCAGGTGCAGCAGTTTATATTTTGAAAATGAAATAAATCTAGTGGATACTGTGGATGAAGAACTTACAAAATCTTATTAGAAAAATAAATCTGTTTTGAGTTAGAAGAGTGAAAAAATCCTAACAAATTACTGGAGAAGAAGTGTTGCAAAACTCAATACATTCATGTTTATTCAATAATCACACACATGTTCTATTAAGAAATGCAGGAAAAAAGTGCAATAAATATTGACTTTCACAGCAAAATGTAGACGTGTATGTGCAAAGAATAATGAATCCCTTTCATGACAGTTGGGGAAAAATAGAAACTTTGAGCCATTTACACCGGTTGAAAAATAAGAAAGCTGTCCTCTTCAGTAGCAGGGGGAAAGAGCATTTCAAGTTTGTTGTATAGAGATTATGCATTTGACTTGATTCTTTATATGCAGAAAAACCAGTTCACATTTGGTGTTTTTTTTTTTTTTTAATATAGGAAATCATGGGGCAAGACATACACTTGGAGCTCTTTTTACTTGGGAGTGGAGACAAAATCATGAATCAACTCCCCCTTTCATGCTGTTACTTTTCCTAAAGCTCTCTAAATATAGAAAGGACTCAAATTCACTTTGGGCTTTGGTAGAATCACACTGTGTTCTAAACACCTCATACCACTCCCTAACAATATTTCTATCCAGGAAAAATCATGTTAAAATGAACTTAAGAGCAAACTAGAGGAGGGGGAATGACAGAAGCATTTTGGAAATTCTTATGCTCTATTGATCAGAGCATAACTTGGTACAATCTTTGAGATGAGAGGTGGCACAACTGGGTTAAATGTATTAAAAACTTAAGATGCTCAGGTCTTTAACCTATCAGTTCCATGAGATCCTGAGAAAGTAATCAGAAGATGCACATAACAATTTTCATGTGAAGATATTCAACAGCATTATTTATAACTAGAGGCCCAGTGCACAAAATTCGTGCAGGGGGTCCCCTCTGCCCAGCCTGCACCATCTCCAATATGGGGCCTCTCAGGGGATGTCCAACTATCCTCTCACAATCCAGGACTGCTGGCTCCTAACTAGTTTGGTCATCCCTCACTAACCTCCCTACTGGCCTGGTCACCCCACACAGCCTGCTGTTGGTTGTTACTGTTACTGTGATGGTGTCCCTGGCAATTTGCATATTCCTTTATTATTAGTATAGATGGTGAAAATGTGGAATTGACCTAAATTTTAATGGTAAATGATTTAATAAATTAAATTATGATTCAGAGGGGACCACTGTGAAACTTTTAGGAATCATGTTTTAAAGAATATTTATTTACCTGCGAAATATTCATGATTGTTAAATGCACAGACAACACATATGGTTTAACTTCTTTCATGTTACGTGTGTTTATATATAAGATTAGAGGCCCAGTGCATGAATTCGTGCATGGGTGGGGGTCTGGCCGGCCCACTGCGATTGGTGCCAATCGAGGCCGGGCGAGCTAGGAGGAGGGGACATGGGAGGTTGGCCGGCTGGTCCCACCCTCGATGGAGGAGGGTGCAATCGGGCTGTAGTGTGCATCAAAGCAACCAGTTATTCTGGTTGTTTGGCATTCTGATTACTTGGCTTTTATATATATAGACTAGAGTCCCGTTGCACGGAGAGATTCATGCAATAGGCCTTCCTTCCCCTGGCTGCCAGCACCAGTTTTCCTCTGGCACCTGGGTCCCAGGCCTTCCCTCCAGCTGCAGCGGAGAAGCCAAGCCTGGAGGCTTCTCCACTCTGACTGCAGCAGAGAAGGCAAGCCTCTTCAGTCTTCAGTCGTCTTCAGTCTTCAGTCTTATTCAGTCGTCTTCAGTCTTCTTCAGTCTTTAGTTGTTTTCAGTCTTTGCTCGGGCGGAGCCTTCAGTCTTTGCTCTGTGCCTGCATATGCAAATTAACCACCATCTTTGTTGGGCTAATTTGCATACTCATCCTGATTGGCTGGTGGGCACAGTGGAGGGTCTCCAATTTGCATGTTTCTCTTTTATTAGTGTAGATGTCTAGAAAAAAAGACTGGAAGGAAATATTTTAATAATGTTAACTGCTGAGTAATGGACTTTTGCATAATTTAAATGTTCCTTTTTTTGTTTTTTGTTTTTGTTTTTTCATAATTTCTATGCTAATTTCTTTTATACTCAGAAAGGAAAAACTTAATAAGTGTTTTGAAAGAGAAAGACAACCAAAAGGTCAAAGAAAGAGTTCTGACTTCGTTATTGGAAGGAGACAGAATCTCAAGTCTTGTTTGTTTTCCTTGAATCAGTGGGTGAAATTGATCCTGCTTTAGCAGTAGAAGGGAGACTTTGAATGAGTAGGATCTGGGTCAACAAGTCCAAAATGTGAAACACTAGTTGGACTTAAAAAAAAAATACTCATTAGTTCAACTGGAAAGAGCTAATCTCTGGAAGTACCCAATCTGCTGTGTGATTCCTGGTGGGACAACTGAACGGCAGGCTCCACCTTCAGAAACTTGCTTACCCCCTAACCCCCTGCAGTGCAGAGCTTCCACTGACCCCCTGCTGCGTTTTCAAGAGTTCCCAGGGTTATCATCAGCCTGGTGGGGCATAACACAGTAAGAAAAATAGGACCTGGGTTTCGTAGTTCCACGTGCAAATGCAGACACAATCACTTGCTCTCAACATTATAAGATCATATAATGGTGCTTGGTAAATTGCTTTGAGATACGCAGGCAAGTTTGTAATTCCATTACCAGTCTTTAATCAGTATTTCTATTCACTCATGTAAGAACCATTGAAAACCATTGATCCTGAACTTTATATAGTCATCAGCAAGTGAGTTTGGGAAAGTTTAGGTGCCAAGATCTAAGCAAACTAACAGGATAAACAACTGTAATAGCATTAGGCGGATAAAACCAAAGCAAACCATTTGAAGTTTGTGTGATGATAAAGGAAAATCAATAAGGAAATAATTCCGCTGAGAAATAATGCTCCAAGAGAACAAACTGGAAGGAATGGGGATGTCCATTACTGATTTGGCCCATCATTTCACTCCTCCTCTCTCTATTAAATAGATGTTTGAGAGTTGATTTTTATCATCAAGAATACTGGCTTCCCAGTTTGGAAGTTTTTTTTTTTTACCAATATTCCATAGAGCACTGGTGAAGATTTTAGCTATTTAGCAACAAATTGTTAACAGGAATTCTTTCAATACATTTTTTATACATCATACTAACATTTATGTGTGTGTGGTTTGTACCTTGGATTTTATTGGCACCAATCTGCTCAGTGAAATGCTAAGTCAGCCATCCATGGTGCCAGTGGGACTCTATGATAAGGGAATGGTGGTAAACTCTATGAAGAGTTTCTACTTGTATTATGGATAACTGTTTAATGAGAATTTTTCTCATTAAAATTAGTGTTGTGCAGCTTGTTTGCCAATTAATATAGCACTAGAGCAAGTTTTATAGAGACTTATCATCCACTGCCCATCCATTTAGCATCCATCTATCTATCCAACCACCCATCATCCATCTGAAATAATTTCAGATTCCCTATAAAATCTAAGATAAAAGTAGAATAGGAAAAAAAGATTAAATGCAGGATTGTGCAAAAGTAGGTTTACAGTTGTGAGTACACAAAACAAAGTTTATTCTTATATTTATTAATTATTGTATTATTTTCCATATGAACAACTGTAAACCTACTTTTGTCCAATCTGTAAAGCCAAGAATGAGTTTACTAAGTTTGAATGAGTCCTCTGCATTTTCCAGAAGTGGGCTAAATTTCTAGTGGCTAGTAGAGAGAGAGAGAGAGAGAGAGAGAGGAAATCTTGTTCCATGAATCCCTGAACTTCCCAGCCAGTGGAATTTACAGCAGGTGAGACCAACTAGGGTAGATCTGCTTCCACCATCCTGCTTAGTCAGAGGAGTTCTAAGTCTGTGTTTTTATGTGGTGTGGGTTTTGTGTAAGATTTAAGGTAAAATAGCATCCTTTACTGAATTGTGTGGCTATTCTTCTTGCAGGTAATGCATATCCATGCTTGGTACTAAGGCTGTGGGACGTCACATCATGGACAAGGTGCTGATGTTACAGTGAGCAACGTACTCAACAACACCCTTGAAGAGAATTGTAGAAGGTAAGTGTATTTTCCTAGCTGAAGGTTTAAGTATCTTGTTCCATTTATTTATTCAACAAATACTTATCAAACACCTGCTATGTGAGCTGCATATGGCATGAGGTGGGGGGCAGAGGGCGATGGACAGGTGACATACTACTGAATACAAGACATATGTTTTTTATTTTGAGAAAGTCTTTTTGATATTAGCCATGCATAAAGTTATAGAATAAGGTAGATAATAAGACTAAAACCATCAACTTTAGACATGAGAGCTTTGTAATCGAGAATTTTACCACAATTATATTATCATAGGCTTTTCAAACCAGGCTGGCCTGACATTCATTAAAGAATGTCCAGGTTTGGATAAACACAGAAACATGGAGAAGGTGTGCAGGTATTGTCACCAGAGAGGAAATAAAAACTATTAAGAAAAGTACTGAGCACAAGTTTTTGATTGGGCAGGGAGAAGGAGGGAAGAAAGAAGAATTTACAACTTCAGTGTAAAAACCCAGAAGTTTCCTGACGTTCTGCAGTGGATGATTTTTGCACCTGCCAATGTGAAAGACTACCCTCCACCCCCTGGCATAGATAATTGGCATCTAACATTACCATTTTGTCTAGAGAGGGAAAGAAGGCATCCTGAAGAAGAGTGAGGTGAAAAAGGAATGGCAGACCACAGCTTCTGAGATGAAGGCTATACTTACCAAATACTAGCCACCTTCCTCTCTCTCTCTCTCTCTCTCTCTCTCTCTCTCTCTCTCTCTCTCTCTCTCTCTCTCTCTCTCTCTCTCTCTCTCTCTCTTTTAAACACAGCATTATTACACATTTTTTAAGATATGTTATTTTTAAAAGAGCCACTCTTCTGGCCGTGGTGTACTGTGTAGAAGAGTGTGTATTTGAACCCTAGCTATACAATCTTGGGTAAGTAACTTGGCTTTTCTGAGTCTCTCTGTTTCCTCATTTTCAAAATGAAGATAATAACAGAATCCCAGAGCGTATTAAATCAGGGTTATATTTGTGAAAGGTGCCATGATTTACATATATTTGTGAAAGATCCCTGGGAGGATCGGCAAGAAACTAGCAAAGTGGTTGCATTTGAGGAGAAGTGAGAAACTTGGGGTGGGGGTGGGGAGGAGAAGGAAGAGAAAGATGAAAAAAGGGGAGAGGGGAGACTTTTTTTTTAAAGAATAGTTTTATTGATTTTTAAAGAGAGAAGAAGGGAGAGGGAGAGAGAAAAACATCCAAGTAGCAGTGATACTTGATCCTCTGCCTCCTGCATGCCCCCTACCAGGAATTGAGCCCACAGGCATGTGCCCTGACTGGGAATCAAACTATGACCTCCTGGTTCATAGGTCAATGCTCAACCACTGAGCTCCGCCAGTTGGGCTCTGAAGAGATTCTTTGATTTAAAATGGTTAAAGCTTTCTTCTCTTCTGGGAGGTCACGGCCCTGGATGACAACCTTTTCTAATCATCTTGTAAATCTAAAGTGTTCTTATCTCCAATTCAGACATTTAACTGTATCCTTTTCTGCATTTTTCTGACCCTTTCCAACAGGGCATATTTGCTCAGGCTCATTCTTGATTGGCTCTCGACACTATTTCCCGTGGTGACTATGTCCACAATTGCATCTCTGCCCATTAATTCTACATTGATGGCCCCAGTTCGGATCTCCCATTCAAGTGCTCTGCCTGCCTACAGAGTGTCTGTTCTTGGATAGATGCTTGATAAGGCAAGAGTTTTGTCTGTTTTATTTAATGATGCATCCCCCACTCCTTCCTTTCCTTCCTTCCTTCTTCCTTCTACTCATTTATTTTCAATTCACTCCAATCTCTGCCCTGCTTACTGAACTCAGACTAAGGTCACAGTGAGCTCCACCTTGTCAAGTCTCTGTTGTCACAACTCCCTGTTATAACCTCTTATAATACCTTAGACCTTTTCTTTGTAGCACCACGATTTTTAATGTATGTCATGAATTAGTTAATGATGCTCTCTCCGTTAGGTTACAAATTCCAGGAAGTTAGAGCTACATTTGTTCTGCCCATCAGTGCTGGACAAATTGTAGGCACTTAAACAAAATATTCATTGATGAAATAAACTACTTATCTACTAATTGAATTATTTGCACTGAACAATTTATTTACTTATAGAAAAGTTCATCAGTGCCCATGGAACAGAGCAGTTGGAATCAAAGGGAGCAAATATGACACACAAAAAAGTTGTTCTGAAGTGGAAGAGGGAAGCTTTCTGAACAGTGTGCAAAAGTAACTTTATTTGTCATTCACCACTCAGGTTGTGAAAGGTAGTCTCTCAACACTGGCTTTTTAATTAAAATCTTCTCTTACATTATGAGTTACAAGAGGCCCAGTGCATGAAATTCATGCACAGGAGGGTGGGGTCCCTCAGTCCTGCCTTCACCCTTTCGCAATTTCACAGGGATCAGGCCTAAACCCATAGTCGGACATCCCTCTTGAGATTCGGGACCACTGGCTCCTAACCGCTAACCTGCCTGCCTGCCTGCCTAATCGCCCCTAACTAATAGCCTGTCTGCCTGATCGCCCCTAATTGCCTCTGCCTCGGCACCTGCCACAGCAGCTTCATCTGGAAGGACACCCAGAAGGACGCTCGGAATGATGTCTGGAAGGTCGTTTGGCTGTCTGGCCTAATTAGCATATTACACTTTTATTATTATAGATTATTATGTTTTTTGGCTTGGATTGCTAATATGACTAATTAATCGCCTATATTGGGTTCATCTTATCTTTTTTGGAGTCCTATGTAAGCTCAGGCACCTAGAGATTAATTACAGAACTCAACCCTTCTCTATTATTTTCATAGACTGTAATCAAACCTATCCTTGGCAACTCTTCATGGAAACTCCTTTGATGCCTGTTAAGTCCTTTTCTTCATTAATGCCTAATAAGTCTTCAGAGTCAAAGAATAACTGAAAAATAAACATAATTTCAGAGACCAGAGTCAAAAGGAACCCTACATGAAAGGGTTTTTGAAATGCCACAGATGGGAACAAGGAGAGACTGGATTAGAAAGATGGGGAGGAATTAGCAAATGCCAAGGCATATCAGACAGAGTTATGGTGTCTTCCACATTTTGGAACCTCTAATGCCACTGAATACTTTGGAATTTGGAAGATTTGTGTAAACCTGAAGGTTAACCTCTAGAGTTCTTGAAATATGTTGGCTATACTTAGATTTAGAAATTTTGGGAAAAACATTAGAAAATTTTGGGAGACTGCCTCCTTGAAATGGTTAGAATCTGAGTTATTGCTGAAATTGTATAGACAGTAAAGTGTTCTAGTAATAGTTGAGCTGTAGTTGAAACTCTGTACAAGATCCAGGAAGCTGTATCTTGAGTAGGGTAGTCATATAAGAAAGAGTTATTGAAAATGCATTTAAGACCATTCTTTCTAAAATGTGATTTGAAGTTTTGTCCATGTGGATAAATGAGATTATTTTAGTAAACAAAAAAACACTATACTGGCCCAAAACAAAATGACTGAATTAGTGAAGCAAGCGACTAAAAATGTATCTGATATTTAATAAACAGATTGACTAAATTCTTGCTAAGACCATGAGAATTATAGTTCCCATGCTCACATATTCTCTTGCTGGCGTTCATGAAACAAGTGGCCCTGGAGAGAAGCCTAGTGGCAAGGAACTGAAGGTGGTGTCTGGCCAACAGTCAGCAAGGAACTTAGGCTCTCAGTCCAACAACCATCAGGAGCTGAGCACTGTCAACGAGCACATAAACCTGGAGCAGGTTCTTCTCTAGTCCGGCCTTCACATGAGACTCCAGCCCCAGCTGATACCTTGATTGCACAGTTGTGAAAGACCCCGGAGCAGAGGACCCAGGGAAGCTGTGTTGGACTCCTGACCCACAAAACTAGGAGAATAAAAGTATGCTCTTTTAAACCACTAAATTTGTGGTGATATTCTATGAGCTTCTTTGTTTAGCATACAAAGCTCTTCACCATTAGTTACTAATTTTTCTAGCTCCTGTTATGATCCTCTCCCTCTCACAGTTCTTCTGCACAAACCTCCACACAACTCTCCTTTTTTCCTCATTGTTCCCAGGACAGCCCACAACTTGGGGCCTTTGCAGAAGCCTCTCCTCTGTCAGATGCCTTCCTTTTGCATACTCTTCATTATCTTTTAAGAGCTAGACCAATGACTGTTTTCTTTAGGGGTAACTCTGTCCTAACTGTTCCCATAACACTTTCTTAATGTATATAATACCATTTACCACCTTCTGTTATAATTTATTCAGCTGGCATGATAATCTTGGATGTTAATCTGAATTTTGCTTTCCAAACTTTTCTCTTTATCCTCTTTTCCTGTTATTGTAGTCATGTTATTGGTATTTCTTTGCTTTGGGGATTTTTGGAGGGTGGAAAGCAAACCTTTGAAGTTGTTTGGTTTTCTTCAAGACCAAACTTATTCAGTAGATTGTGCTGGATATCTGAAAGAGGGAGAAGAGGAGGGAGGAGTGACCCTCAAGGAGAGAGTACCTGGGGAGGGAGGGAGAGATGGGGGGGAAGAAGCATGACTTCACTGCAGCACTCCAGGAGTGAGGAACAGGCCTAAGGAGAAGAAGAAAGTAAGATTGGTACCGTCCTAGAGATAAGAGCTCAGACTCGGTGCTCTGGCCACCTAAAGAGTCCCATGTCCCAGGCACAGATTAGAGGAAATGTTGGCTGTGAATAAGAACACTGGGTGTCACCATGGCAATCAGGCATGCCCCTCACCCGCGATTGGAGAGACCTCCCCATCTGTGCCTGCCCATGTTACTTTCCCCTCTCTAGTGGGGGAAGAAAAATCATGACTCTGATTGAATTTCCCACAATATATTGGGGAGGAATTGGCTTTGAGTTAGATTTAACTTGAGTTAAAAAAAAAAACACAACAAAAGAAATTTTGTATTTTTTTGCACACCTGTTTGTAGAGGAAGATTCATACCAGTTAAATGAGCCCTGAGCACTAGAAGCATGAGGAAAGCTACACCCAGGAACATCATAATCAATTTGTTCAAAACCAGTGTTGAAGGGGAATTCTTAAAAGCAAGCCAGAGAAAACACACGCATTACACATAGAAACAAAGATAAGGATGATCGGAGCTTTCTCGTTGGAAACAATACGAGTGAGAAAGCAGCAGAGCCACATCTTGAAAGTGCTGCTCAAAGAACAAAACTGTCAGCCCGCGATTCTTCATCCAGGGAAAACCACTCTCAAAAACGAAGGCAAAGAAAGCTTTTTTTTTTTTTAAGAAATACAAAAGCTGAAAGAATTTATCACCACCCGCAAACCCATGCTACACAACATGTTAAAGGGAGTCTTTCAAGAAGAAGGAAATGGCACCAGATGGAAATGTGGATCTACACCAGTGGTTCTCAGCTGGGGGTGGTTTTGCCCCTGCAGACATTTGGCAATATCTGGAGACATTTTTGGTTGCACAGTTTGAGGGGGAAGGGGAGGGGTGGAAGGCTCTTAGTGTCTAGTGGATAGAGGTCAGGGATGCTGTTAAACGTTCTATGATGCACAGGACTGCCCCCTCCCTCCAGGAAGGAATGCCAATAGTAATGAGGTTGAGAAAAGCCTAAACAAAGGAATTATGTGGGTAAATGTAAATATTTTTCTTACTTTTTAAATCTCTGTCATAGATTATTGTTCATTTAAACTAAAATAATAACAAGATAATGTGGGTTTTATAACAAATATTAAAACAAAATCTATGGCAACAGCACAGAGGCTGAGATTTGAGAAGGGGAAGTATGCTATTGCATGGTTTTATACTGTATGGGAAGTGGTGTAGAATCATTTGAAGGTGCACTGGGAGAAGTTACATATGCATACTGTAAACCCTAAAGTAACCAGTAAAATGTGTAACAAACAAAGAAAGGATATAGCTCATCAGCTAACAAAGGAGATAAAATAAATCACTAAAAAATCATCAATTAATCCAGAAGAAGGCAGAGAAAGAAAAGGGGGGGATAAAGAACAGATGGGAAAATAAAACACAAATAGCAAGATAATAGACTCAAACCTAATCATATCACCATTCATTTTAAATTTAAAAGGCCCAAGCACCCCAATTAAAAGGTAGTCATCAGATTTGGATTAAAAATGATCCAACTCTGACAGGAGACTTGACTTGGAATGGTCAGTACAATATACAGTATTCATGATGTATTATAGAATTGTATTCCTGAAACCTATATAATTTTATTAATCAACTAGAGGCCTGGTGAATGAAATCCTTGCACTGGGGGTTGAGGGTGGGGGGGTCCCTCTGCCCAGCCTGCTCCCTCTCACAGTCCAGGAGCCCTCATGGGATGTCCTACTGATGACCTAAGCCACAGTCTGGCCACGGAGGCTCGGAGCAGGCACTGTGTGTGTGTGTGCCTTCCTCTCTGACATCAATTTAAATATTTATGTGTGCCAGCCACTCCAGAGCAGGCACCCCATGTATGTGTGTATATGTGTGTGTGTGTGTGTGTGTGTGTGTGTGTGTGTGTCCACTGGGGGCCTGCCCCCAGCTACACTATGGAGGCTTGGAGCAGGCGCTCCTCTGTGTTGATCTCTCAGGCTCTGGGCCATGACTGCGTGTTGTTCTCTCAGACTTGGGGCCGTGTGTGTCCCCTCCTCCTGAGCTGGTTGGGACTGTTAGGGAGTCCCGACCTCATTTGCATATTATTTCATATATATATACATAATATATACATATCACCTCAATAAATTCAATGTAAAAAAAAAAGACCCAACTATACACCTGCAAGGGACTTTAAATTAAGACACAAATAGATGTAAAAGTAGTGGTTTAAAAATAATAACACTATTTTTTAAAAAAATTGAGCTATATTAATATCAGAAAAAGTAAACATAATAGCAAATAATGTTATCAGGTATAAAGAAGGTTATTTTATAAAGGTAAAGGGATCTGTTCTTCAGGAGGACATAATAATTCTAAATATTCAAGCTTCTAGTAACAGAACTTCAAAATTCATGAAGCAAAACCTGTTAGTATTTCAAGGAGGAAGATAAATTCACAACCATAGTCAGAGGTTTTAATGTGGCTCTCTCAGTAACAGACGGAACAAGTACATGAAAACCATTAAGGATATAGAAAACTTAGACACTTGTTTAACCAATGTGACCTAAACAACATTTATAGAACACTCTATCCCAAAGCATCAGGATAGAAATTCTTTTCATGAGCACATGGGACATTTGTTATCTTCTGGGCTGTAATACAAGTTTCAAAACATTTAAAAGTTTCAAGGCATTCAAAATGTGTTCTCTGACCATGGTGCAATTAAATTATAAATCATTAACAGAAAGATTTCTGGAAAATCCCCAGGTATTTCAAAACCAAATAATGCACCCTGCCTGTCTTTGGGTCTAGTGGGAGGTATTTGGTCACATTTCTCTTCTGCTTGGGATTTTAATACATAAAAGAGTGAAGACATTAGGATGGTTTAGATTCAATCTTGCTTATCCAGGAAGAGTGGAAGGAACAGTTTCAACCCTAATGGTCTTTTGTATTCAAGGTGTTTATGCACAAAGAACAAAATCACGTAAACTCTTAGAGAGGAAAAAAACTTATTTTAAAATTTAAAATATATATAATAAAGAGGTAATATGCAAATTAACCCTCACACCCTCACAAGATGGCTGCCTATGACCAGGCTGGCAGGGGGATTAGTGAGGGATGACCAAACAACTGAACAGCAGGCTCCATGGGGCGACCAGGCCAGCGTGTGGGGGGATTGAGGGGCGACCAGGCTGGCAGGGGGGCAGTGGGGTGACCAAGTCAGCAGGAGGGGCAGTTGGGGTTACCAGGCTGGTGGGGAGGGGGGCAGTTAGCAGCAACCAGACCGGTAGGGGTGGCAGTTAAGGGCTATCAGGCCGGCACTCAGAGGCAGTGAGGGGGGCAGTTAGGGCTGACCAGGCAGGCAGGCAGATAAGCGATTAGGAACCAGTGGTCCAGGATTTTGAGAGGGATGCCCGACTGCCGGTTTAGGTCTGATCCTTGGGATCGGGCCTAAACCGGACATCCCCCAAGGGGCCCCAGGTTGGAGAGGGTTCAGGCTGGGCTGAGGGGACCCCCCCCCCCCGTGCACAAATTTTGGGCACCGGGCCTCTAGTGGTAATATAATATTTAAAGACGAATATAACTTTATTGCCTTTTACATAATATATGGTTATTTAGCCAACTGTTTCAGGTAGCATAGCTTGAGGAATTGCTTTTAAAAACAAATGTGAAATATAAAAATGAAAATATTTTGATGCTTTATAATGGGAATGCTTTATAATGAATATGGTGTTTATAAGTTTGCTTTAGATAATAGATAAGAATGTTTCTAGAGAAATAATGCTTCCAATCTGTTCATATAGTATATGTATAAATTGTTATTTTAAATATAATCAATATCAATAAATATTTTATTTTTCATAAAAGGTCCAATTCCCCCCCCCCCAGGACTTTGACAGGTGGAGTCTGATTCCCTTCCTCTTGAATGTGTGCTTGCTTCTGATGAACAGATTGGGGTGGAAATGATGCTGTGACACTTTGGAGGATAGGCCACAAAAGGTGATATAGCCTCCACCTGGCGTTCTCTCTCTTAGGATGCCTGCCTTTACAACCCTGCACCATGCTCTGAGAACGTCTGCGGATTGACCCCATGGAGATGCCCATGTGGAGAGGAGCTGAGACCCCCAGGTGACAGCCAGCACCAACCCCCAGATATGTGCATGAGGGAGCTTGCAGGTGATGCCAGCATCAGTCTCAAGTCTCCCAGCTGAGGACTCAGTCGTAACGGATCAAGGGCAGGTTTTCCCCAGGTGTTCTGTTTAATTCTTGACCCACAGAATTCATGGGTATAATAAGTGGTTGTCTGTGCTGTTAAGCTTTTGGGTAATGTATTACAGAGCCACAGTTACTGAAACACCATTGCCATCTTGTTTAATAAACCCATTTTAATTTCCTATTCTTCATAAATAATTACATATTTTGAGTCAGGATTCTTAATAAGGTTTCAGTACACACTGTTTCTATATAGAAGGTCTATTCACAGTTACTGCATGTGTGGTTACACTACATAATTTGATATATTCCTGAATAGCTCACTAAATGGAGAAATAGTATACATGGCCCTCAGAAAAGGCCAGAATCTCCCACAGGCTGGTGTCTGGTTAGATCACCAATCTCAGCTATAAGGTCAGATACGCTATAGCGTTTTGCCACCCAGGTTCAGGAGCTGAATAGATCACTTTTAATTCCAAGTTTACCACTTGGCAACTGTGTGTACAAGAATGAGTTCTACATCATCTCTGAGCCTTAATTTCTCATCTTTTGTGTGTGTGTTTGTGTGTGTGGGAATAATAGCACCAATCTTACAGTATTGTTATAATGAATAAATGATACAATGCACATGGTGAGCACTCAAATAAATGTTGAGCGCCTAGGGTTATGCATGTGAAATTTTCCATTTAAATACATGCCTTGTCATACTATCTTAACTTCAGATCTGGAAAATTTCCCCTAAACACCCACTGCTGACCAGAGCTTGTAAAATTGACTTTTACAGGAATTCACTGTGCTGTTAATTGCGGTGACTTCCCAGACACAGTCTGATCACGACTGTTGCCCCTTCTGAACACTCCTGGAGAAGTGAAAACTGTCCCCATAGGACCCTGGGCTAACTAACACCCACTGACTCCCAGGTGAGCTGAGTTGTGTCTTGGTGAATTTCAGTTTAGTCCAGAGATTCAGTTCGCTTGGCTTGTTTCACTGAGAGAAACACAGGAACAATTTTACAGAATGATAATTTCCCACAGATTTTTTGAGAAGTTCCACTGTTTGTTGTGGAAACAGTGTGGTTAAAATAAAACCCAAAGCATTACTTTTCTCCTCTGACAGTCTGATTGGGTTGACTCAGTGGCATTCGCTTTGGGGACATGCCCTCGTCTCTCTCCCTCAGCCCTTCCAGGAAGAACAGTCTTGTGTGATTTTAATGTGATCGTGTCTTTACCATGTGGTCTATCAGCTGTCACTGTCAGTGTGTTTGAGAGTGTCTAGAAGGGGTTTTAATTGGCAAGATCTTTAGTAAAATTTGCAAATTAGTGATCCACCGGCTGATGTTATGACAATGTCTAAACACTATCAGTGCCATTTTAAAATAATCTTTCATCGATACAACATTCATCTTAATTAGCCAGAAAATGTTGGTCCCAAAGGAAGCTGCCTACAGTTTTGTGGATTTGGCATTAAGTTAGCTGATGGATTGCTGAACTTGATTTATTGGGGGGAAAAAGAGAGATTTATTGAAGTTATTTATGTTTCATTCAACTTATGAGGTGTTGGTCAATGTCTGAGTGATTAGAATGTAGACCCAGGAATACAAGTGGAGAATACCCTTCTCTTTGATGGGCTGGCATGGTATGAGAATCAGCCTACGAGTCTGGTAACTGAGTTTTAATCCTGGCTCAGCCTGAATTTGTTTGTATGATCCTGGGAAAGGATAACCACCATTCAAGGTGATCGAGTACTTACTCTACAGCAGGTACTCTATACCCCTTGTTTTGTTTCTTTTAACAACAATATGAGGTGAAAACCATTAGCATCTCCATTTTGGAGATGAAGAAACAAACTGAGGTGTAGGGAGTGGAACTATCTTGCCAAGGGTCATGGTCACGAGGAAGCTAGTAAGTGGTAGAGACCCAGGTCTCTCTGCCCTAAAGATTGAGGTCAACACAACCACGAGATAACTCTCACTGAAAAGTCCCTTAATATTCGTGAGCTTAGATTTTCTCATCTGTATAATGAAGCAGTTGTACCAAATGATCTTTTGCTCATCATTTAGAAAGAGTAGAATTGTAGCTCAGAAAGAGTAGGGTTCTAGGTAGCTTATGTATCTGGATTTCTGGGTTATTAAGGGGTTGGTTTTGTCAGGTTTATATTCTCATGAAACCTGACAAGGTCCTTGTGGTATCCTTGGGAGGATGACAAATTAATGCTCTGGTACTGATTATTTTAAGTGAATGAGCCCCCTTACAAGTACCCTTTGTCTCAAGTAAGCACTGAACTGAACATGACAACTCTTCTCACTAACTTATAGATGTGAATTTTGTCAGCTAAAAACACCACCATTTTCTTTCATTCCAGTGATATCAGCAAATTCCTGGCCATGCTCAGCAGCCTCTGGGTGCCCTATCAGTATTTACTGGGCCTACCTGATTAATATTTATTATAGTTACCAGCTTTGGGGTCATTTAATTTAAATTTGAAAAAATTACTGGCTCTAGCCAACTGCACCAAAATGTATCAAAGAATATTTTTTCTGCTAGGAATTTTGCCCCAAAGCATGAAATTCAGTATAAACTTAGCCCAGTCTGCAGGCTAGACATGCCAGATGGCCGTTAAAACGGACCCTTGCTTGGCCTTTTCTCTTATAAAAATAATTTATGACCTGCTGCTCTGAACTTCCGATCGTGGGCTCTGCAGGTACCCTGGCAGTTTTTCCCCATGCTTGTAACCACCCTAAGCTGCCTCAGACAACATTGTTCTTGGCAGTAGCCTTAAAATGTCATGAAAGGGATTGTAGAGATCACTTGGCATTTCAGCCTCCTCATTACACAGTGTTATTATTTAGAGCAGGGCTGGGCAAACTTTTTGACCCGGGGGCCACAATGGGTTCTTAAACTGGACCGGAGGGCCAGAACAAAAGCATGGATGGAGTGTTTGTGTGAACTAATATAAATTCAAAGTAAACATCATTACATAAAAGGGTACGGTCTTTTTTTTTTTAGTTTTATTCATTTCAAATGGGCCGGATCCGGCCCATGGGCTGTAGTTTGCCAACGGCTGATTTAGAGACAACTTTGGGAGATGGACTGTCAGGACTCAGGACTTCAAGTCTCTTTAGGACTCAAGCATGAGTTGAAGTTTCTATTCTTCAGGCTTCATGTGTGAAATGGGAATGATAATGTCTGCTTTTCAGAGATCCTGGATGGATTACATGAAATTGCAACTATGGACATGCCTGATGCCGTGTCGATGTTTATTGTTAATCATTATCATGGCAAGGACACAAAGAATTCTTCCATGTACAATATACCCAGATTTTTAAACTATTTCTCTAAATTTTTACCATCCTAGAAGATTTTTGTGGACCCTGAAGGACCTCAAGTTTATGGTTTTCTGGTGTGACCCCAAGAAACATGAGATCCAACTATTCAAACACACTATCTTTCTGAAAAAGGCCCAATCCAAACCATTTCTTCCCTCCATCTTTCCCAAGTCCCATTGTGAGGGAATTATTTGTTTTTGTTGCAGTTACTATTGCTGTATAGTGTAACAAATTACCCCTATTTTATGTTGTCAAACACTGATCATTTTATTATGCTCATAGATTTTGTGGGGCATAGATTTGGACAGGACACATATGGATGGCTCATTTCCTACTCCTGGATGTCATAGGTTGAGAAAATATGAACAGGATTCTTAATGGAAGTCTCATATAGGTATATCTGACTAGAGGGGATCTAGCCTCCTAATTACCAAGCATCCAGAGAAATGAGTTTTCTGGCTGTGTTAGTTTTCTAAGGGTGCTATTACAAGTCCCCACAAAGTAGATGGCTTTATTGGCTCACAGTCTGGAGGCTAGAAGTCTGAAATCAAGGTGTTGGCAAAGCCATGTTCCCTCTGAAGGCTCTAGGGAAGAATTCTTCCCTATGTCTTGGCTGTGGCTGTATAATTCAATCTTTGCTTCTGTTGTCACATGGCCTTCTTCCCTGTAAGTCTGTCTCTGTGTCCAAATATCCCTCTCTTTTCTCTTAAAAGGATTGCAGTCATTGAGTTTGGGGCTCTAAATTCAGGGTCTAGTTTCATCTTAAAATTCTTAACTAATTTTAAGAAACTAAAATTGGCAAAGAAACTGTTTTCAACTTCAGTCACCTTCTGAAGTTCTGGGTGAACATGGATTGGGTGGGGGGCACTATTAAACACAGGTTTCTGGCTTGGGATGTCTTTCCCAACAGAGCAAGAATGCTAAAAATATGCTGGGCAACCAAAAAACATGATAAACATCCTATATGAATGCTCTTAAGAAAAGTAGGATGAGATAAGGGAAGAGGGGATGACACAAGGGGTGGGATGTAAAATATTTTGAGAAGAGCTTTCTTTCCAGGTGGACAGAACCACAAGTATCAGATGGTGTGGTTTGAAGTACAGCCAAGAAGCTAGTGTGGCTGGAATGGACATAAGGGAGATGGGAGGAGATGAGGTTGGAGGTCAAGCCATTGTAGGCCATTGTAAGATTTTGGACTTCATGTTAAGGGTAATTGAAAACCAGCGAGAGTTTTTGAGCATGAGAACAGGCTGATTTTATTTACATTTTTAATTTTTTAAATATATTTCATTGATTTTTACAGAGAGGAAGGAAAGGGATAGAGAGTTAGAAACAGCAATGAAAGAGAAACATTGATCAGCTGCCTCCTGCACACCCCCAAATGGGGATTCAGCCAGCAACCAAGGTACATGCCTTTGACTGGAATCAAACCTGGGACCCTTCAGACCGATGCTCTATCCATTGAGCTAAACCAGTTAGGGCTTATTGCCATTTTTAAAAAGTCACTTGAATTGCTGGGTGGAAACTAGACACAGGCTCAAAAGTGGGGGATCAGGGATCAGCTTGATGAGTCTGAGGACATGCCAGTCATTAAGGCAAGAAATAGTGGTGCCTTGGACAAGGTGGGTAGCAGTGGATGCAATGAGAAGTAGGAGTGGGATATACTTTGAAGGTAGAACTGACAGAACTTGCTGATGGTTTGCATGTG